ACAACATGAGAAACTATATTCCCTTTATTTTTATGAGAGTTTTTCAAACTTTTGGAAAGAAATGGGCAAACCATTTTAACCATTAACTATTCCGGTCATAAATTGATTAGAAAAATTTAAACATAGTTGTTAAAAGAGAAAGCTCAATACAGTTTGTATGTCTAATGTTTAGGAAAGTCTAATAGTTTGGGAGATAGAATTGGTATTATACTTTGGAAATCTAATTCTCTATCATACTTGAAATTATTTAAGAATTTTTAGGTTCAATTGCAGTTTTTATTTAATTGTTTTGAAAATGGTAACAAATTCATCCCTTATTTCAAATTGTGCAATTCTGATCCATTCGTCCATACAATAGAAGCAAATTAATAAGTTCAAAGAGCTAATGGTGTTAAACCAATTAACAGAAAATAATTGTGACAATTAAAGATATTGAGTTAGCATCTTATGGTGTTGTTAGATGTTACCTAATCTAACGTACGTGTTGGTAGAGTACAAGGATGAAGGAAGTTACATAAGCTCCACACGACTGCCTCACTCTCCTTATTTTCCCCCAAAATCAAAATCTTAGTGCACTTGCATGGGACAATAAAATAGAGAGAATATCCTCGCTATGATCTACTTGTAAGCTTTGAAAAGGAAGCATGCCATTGATGTTGACCTCTATCAAACAACATTTAAGAGAGAACCAGCATGTTTAAACAAGAGATAAAATATTTGTAATTGCAACAAAGAATGTTGAGTTCATCACCTCATGTTCGAATCCCATTAATTTTGTTTATTATGTTGATGACACTTTAGATTTGATTGCATCCATTTTATAAAAGAACTATCAAAGTTGCATGATTTTTTTTGGTGGGAAAATTGCATGATTTAATATAAAAGGATGAGTTTATTACCATTTTTCAAGAGCAATGTTTTTAGGTTTGTGATAAATAAAGAATTGAGGTATAGAATCACAATTCTGAATTGAATTGAAATGATCCAAGTTGTTAATTTGATTATACTCAGTACATTTGTTTTTAATTCACAGATATTAGTACCTAAGTAACCACTTGTAGGACCTGTGAGTACACTGAGAATGGATGCGAAAGTGAGCTTAGTCCCATTTGATTGTTGAGACAATCCATCAATTATTTGATTGCTGGTGCCAGAGTAGTTAAACTTGAGTAGTTTAGATAAAAATTGTTGTTGCTTTAGTGACTGAATTACCTAATTCATTAGGTTATTCAACCTCTTGTGATTCGTTCGGATGATTAATGGGGATCCAAGCAAATATTGACGCAATTTTCTTATTGCGAAAGTGATTACAAATATTTCTTGAGCATATGTTCACTTTCCCTGTAACACCCCGATTTATGGGAATAATTACACTAAAATAGAAGAGACACACAACTAAACTGTAGCATACATCTTTACATACTTATATACATCCTTACAAAACCAACATGCATGGTACAAAAACTTAATACAAAGAACAAAATGTCTTCATTACAAACAAGTCAAAACAGACAAATACTTCAAAGCACACTGTCCAAGGAGCAACTGTCAAACATCCCTTGACTATTATCCTTGATCAGAAAACCTGAAAATTATAACAACAGAAGTGAATGCAAATTCCAGTAAATTATAAAACTAATATCTTACTCTGCTATGATTCATGACTATGCTCTGGTTGGCTATTCTCTTGATAAACTCATGTCATGTTGTATGATTTACAAATAAAGAGATATGCATACATATAAATATCATCACAAAGAAAATTTACTAGTTGTCTAAAGCTACTGTGTGAACTTTTAGGTCCCGAATAAGCTACTATATATGTTCTACATATAGCGGTTGTGGATTCCGTATCTAATGGTTATATGTGTCCGTCTATTATAGATTTGTATGTGTATTGAGCTCAAACACGTGAGACGTCTCTCACAATTGTAACTGTGGCATTATGCCCATAATTGTACTATGTATATAATACTCATGAATCACTATCTCAAATATATGTAATGCATGACAAAGATCCATCTCTAACAGCAACCCAACGTGCATGGACAGAATTATTACTTGGCATGCATTGACCCATATTAACTCGTTCCTCATAGTGTTTTCTAGAACAAAGATGATATACTCCATAGACATCCAAGCATGCAATCTTCAAGCACAAAATAGAATTTATAACTGAAAAAAGAAAGTAGTTTTTATAACTTAATTGATTAAAGGTCTTAGATTCTTGAATCTCTTCTAAAGAACTTCAAACCAGTTCAACTCCAAGAAGGTTCTTTTCCAATGTTCAAATGCTCCGGTTACAGCTCCAAGGTTTAATTTTCTTCTCTTTAAGATTAATAAGTGTGGCTCCTCCTCAACTAGTTTTAAAGAGAATGGTCAACCCCAAGAAGTTTCTCCTACATGCACAAGCTTCTCTAGGTTCAAGAATAATTTCTTCCCAGTTCTACTGTGCTCCAGCCGAAAAGATACAAGACTTGTCCGTGTCTGGAGCCACCCCTTGGGAAGAGACGACATAGCCTAACTTCTAGACCCGAGAAACCTCTAAATTCTATTGCTAATGAGGTTATTCCACTCTTCCACTTCGCAAAAATTGTCTGTGTCTGGAGCCACCCCTTAGGAAGAGATGACATGGCCTAAAAAGTGAATGGAAGACACACTTGCTAAGTTTGGGAAAGAAGCAATGGTTTTGAAGAGTCTGGAGCACCTACGATAAATACTGCAAATGATCTACAAAACAACGATTACAAACTAAATTAAAATATCATGAGAAAAATGACAACAAAACACCGTAGGAAAAGAAAAAACTAACTACGTTCAGGCCTAAAAGGAGCTTATTGCATAGGACAATCCAAAGGTCATAACAAAGAACTTTAAAATGCTCATGGTGAGTACGTAATGTTGTCCAAATGCATACAAATCTAATGATATCTCGACCGCAAATCTAATTTAGAGAAAATAGTTACACCATGTAACTCATCAACGAGTTCATCCACAATAGGTATAGGATACTTGTCCTGCTGATGGCATTCAAAGCCCTATAGTCAATGCAAAAATTCAATGTTCTCTTCTTCTTTTTTGACGAGTAAGGTAGGAGAGCTAAATGAGGATTGGCTGGGTTGGAAGATCCCAGACTGCAACATCTCAGAAACTAGTCATTCATTCTCAATATTTTGGCAATGAGAGTACGGACAAATTTGTATGGAGTGTGATATCGTGGTTATTTGGTTGATCGGGTGGAAAGGTTGAAGGAGTGGAGAAAACATTGGAAAGTCGATGTAGGAGATGGGCTATATTTGGGTTGGGGTGAAGTTCAGAGGTGTGGTTGGTATCTGGAAGTTATTGGAAACATATAAGGTATAAAACAACTAATCCAGAACAGACTAGTTTATTGAGCTGGGAGGCAAAAGTGTCACCCCACAAGCAAATAGATGGATAACTCAGAGTAAAATGCATTGTAAGATGAGGTGTTGATCACACACTTGATTTTGATCATATGGCCTAGTAGACTAAGTGCACACTTCTTAAAATGAGGTGTTGTATACTACGTAAGGCTCTATTAAACTTTAAAAATTAAATTTCCACCCCTAACTTAAGGAAATTCTAAAATTTCCTGTTATTTCAAAAATTACCATGATGTCCCCATTAATATTTTTTTTGCAAATTTACCCCTACACACATAGTCCACAAAATAAAAAAAGTATTGGAAAAATTGGATAGGAACACATGATATGCGAATTGCATTAGTCTATTTATAGACTCAAGCAAGCATCCAAATCATGGACTATTAGGTTTGATCAAACAATCAATCTTTTGGCTTTAAGAAAAGTCCTGATTAATGGTGTGTGTATAAAAAGATTCAAGGGATGGCAGTAGGTTTTCTTGTACTTTATACAAATTATATACTTTTTATTGGAAACGATTGAGAGGTATTATTAGGCATAAAGAACTTTGATATAAAAGACTTAGGAGAAGCTAATTATATTCTTAGTACAAAAAAATTTACAAGACCAAAAGAATAAGTTATTGACTAAGCATAAGCAATTATTAATCTGTTAGAGACCATGAGTTAGTTTCTAAGTGCTTATTTGTAACCAAAAAAAAAATTTCTTGCTCAGTTGGCGTATGGGAGCTGAGCAGGTGGGGAGAGAGCATGTGTTCGAATCCTCCCAGTACCACCTTTGGAAGGGGTTTAAAGCCTTAATCCTGGACCCGCACCGAATCGGATTAGTTGCGAAGCGATGAACCGATTGGAATATTTCCAAAAAAAAAAAAAAATTCTATTCTTATAAGTAGAAACTTGGTCAAACAAATTTTTCTAAAAGCTCTTATTATAAAATAAGCTTTTTTTGTAATGGAGAAAAAAATTAAAAGTTAATTTTTTGTTTAAGATATATGTTAGCTTTTTTGACTACTCATTTATTTTATAGTTTTACCCTTATTCTAAATTTTTATTTATAAATTTTATCATTTACACTAAATCCCTAATCATTTATTTTATCTTTCATCCTTCAAAACTTTTAAAACTTTATATAATCACCAAATAACTTTTAAATTAATTTTTTAAGCTCTTTTTTTTTAACTTAAAAATAAATTATAGTTAAAAAAACAGGAATGTCAAACAGGCTTTAAATCTAAAAATTTTCCCTTTATATTCCTTAATTTCAATTTAAGAATTGTCTCTTGGTGATGCTTAGCATTATTTTTGTCCAAAAATAGAAGAAGAAAATCCTCTTTAGTTTCTATTCCATAATGAATCTAACATAAAATTTGATATTTGCTATTAGCAGGTTACCATTCATCTCCAATTGATCAATAACAAAGCATTACATTAAGCAAAGAATTTCAACGTGCGGCACATAGTTCTTCCTCTCTACGCAATCTTCCTCAGACAAAAATTTGAGGGTCACAACTTAACCCGCAAAAGTTACGCATTGAATATAAAAATAAAAGTACAAGAGTTCCTAAAAGAGCTGAATCCAAAATCATCAATTGCTTGCTTAGAATATGATCTCCAATACAGCATTAACACTTCAAAATTAAAATATATGGGGCATCCAAATATTACCAGAATCGATTATCGTCCCTCAGAGATTTAACGTAAATAATAATAAACAAAAAAAGCCTTCAGATCAATCATCAGAAAAACCAAGAAATCTGTTTATGTGCTTGGCCACTGGTGTAGCATCACCTGGAGAGTAAGGAAGGAGAGAATTTAAATCCATATCTGCTATAGTCTGATGGAGTGTTTGAGGACTGGCACAATACAGATGCTTTCTGTCGGCAAGTTCTTCGGCAAGCTCACTTTGATGATTATCCATCAAATCTTCATTTACAACCACAATTAAAGGTTTTCCCAGCCGCAATGTCTCAAATATGCTACCTGACCCTGCGTAAAATCAGAACAGTTACAGCTACTTACCCAAGCACCAAATAACAACAAAAACAGAGGTAACTTAAATTTTCTTGTCAAGGCAGTATAGGGGAGCCTATGGCAGAGGACAACCACTAATGGGTTAAATCATAGTAGTTAATTGCGCCGCAATAGCACCGCGAGCCGCGCCGTATGGGCGTTGCGGTGCCTCGCCGCAAGAAACCGCGTCGCGCTGCACCGGAACGCAATAGCAGTCATTGCGATCGCATTTGCGTCCAAATCGCGGTCATATTGCAGTCATGTCAATTTTGTGCAAATTTAAATGTGTAACAGAAAATTTTTAAGAGGTTTTTAGTCTATATGTGTCTCTCTCTGTCACTTCTGCTATATCTCTACCTTTAAAAAATGTTTCTTTTTGTCATTATTTCTGTCATATATCTATTCGGCTATTTCAGCAACCGCAACCCACTATAGCGTTTTTCGGAGTTGGCCACGACATGCCGCAATCCACATTTGACAACTTTGGGCTAAATTAGACCAATCACACCAAATGAATCCAACATCACATTTTAACTAAAAACTTTAAAGAATTGGGTTCATGGGTCTTCCCATTTATATGAACTCCACTTAGCCTATTACCAACCAATGTGGAACTTCATCACACTTGAATCCAACAATCTCCCTCTCAAGTGTGAAACCCACATCGATATGCTCCCTTCTCAGAGTACCACAGGCCCAAGTACACAACCCTCCTCTAATAACATTGTCAAGCGGGCCAAGGGCAGCCCATGGCAGAGGACATCTACTAGACCAATCACAAAGTGAATCCGACACTACGTCTCAACTCAAAACCTTAAAGATATTGGTTTCATGTGTCCTCCCAATTATATGAATTTCACTTAACTCATTACCAACCAATGTGAGACTTCATCACACTTGAATACCCAACATTTCCTTTAGTCATACATTCTTTTTCGTTTTCGACCTCCCACTTTAACCAAAAAACAGCTACCCATAAGAAGCAGCAAACTAATGTGTTTCTTTTCAAGTTATTATTTACCACATGATTTTATCAACAAATATCCGAAGAACATTTGGTGAATGGAATGACAATGCTTTCTACCTGGTTAGTAATGGAATAATCATCCATGCCAGCATCATCTCAGAAAAATACATTTTAAAAAATATACCCCAATGCAATTTGGTAATCATTTCCACTTCGTTTGTGGGCCACGCAGGAAGGAATGATAAAGCAAAATCTACAATGATTCTTAAATAAGAAAAAATAATACAAATCATATTCAACTCTATAACTTACTAATGCATAAATTCAAAGCCAACAAGTCCGTAAAATAATTTCTGTTTTTGACATCATGCACTGCACCATACCCTCTTTTTTATCATTACAAGCCCGTCGTTTCTGAATAATTTCATAGCAAAATTTTTACCATTTCCTGTTTTGATTGAGCCAAAAAAATCTTTCTCACCTACATCTCATGCTTTCACCGGTTTGGCAGCTTGTGATGACAGCTGCTTCTCATTTCTCATTATCTCTTTTTTTGCTGAACCAGTGAGTACAATTGCACCCACTTACATTGAACCAGTAGTTTTCTAAGCCATGTTTGTTTCAAAGGAAAATGTCATCAAATATTAACCAAACACCATTAACAATAAATCACTAATCACAATACCTAATACTCCCAAATGGATGGGAGAGCAGAATCCAAGCCACCATGACCAAGTAACAGATAAACTAACAGTGTAGACTTGAGAATTATAACGCGTTTGTCATTACATAATAATTAGTAAAAAAGCATGCAAAAGACATGCTGTAATAAGCATACCAGCATGGCTAATAACAAGAGAAGCTGATCTGAGATGGTCTGCAATACTGGATGAAAAAGTGAAGTAGTCTACGGCCAATGAACTGTCTCCTTCAGACTGCAACAAAAAAGTTAATATAAGAATAATAAACTCGGTAGAAATAGAAGTATCTTCTATATAAAAGGATACTGATACGACAAAATTTGAAAAGGAAACTTGTATTAATCATATTGAATCCAAACACAGATGCAAAATGGGCATTTCACTGTAGTGTTCAAGGAAAATTAAAGAATTGGGAAGGAAAATTACAGAACAAATGAAAGATACAAGACTGGAAATTAACAAAACAGACACTGATATCCAGAACAATTTGAGAGGTTTTGGATCTCTCCCAAGAGTCCAAACTTTCCAAGATGATTCCAAAGTGATCCTCCACTGGCTATTAGTAACCCACCTCGCGTGATGCCATCAATGTGACTCTAACCATTTGATTTCCCTTTAACCAAATGATGCTTACTCAGCAATTGTAAGTGGGTGTTGGAATCCTCTATTTCTCTTCCTCTCATATACCCTGTTGAATAATATCTTAATAGTATCTTCTATTTTAGGAAATAGATCCCATAGGTTTAGGGATAGTGTATATACAATTATTTAGTTAGATTTGGTTAGATTTTATTTTATTTCCTTTTATTATAGAATGTAAATCCTATATATGATGAATGAGGATGAGGTATTTTCTTCAAACCATTTAGAAATTCTCTTTCAACATGGTATCAAGAGTTGGGCTCTGTTCCAGCCATAAAAAATCCCAAGTCTTAAGTGCGTTACAGTTATGGCCTCAAGTACAAGTGACTCTCCTAATTTCATGATTCTTCAGTCATCTGGAGTCACCAACCCGACTAGTACTGTTCCCGTTTCGTATGCCTTCTTTAGTTCTCCCACAATCACATCTGAGAAGTTGAATGGTAAGAATTATTTGGCTTGGTCATCCTCCGTTGAACTGTACTTTCTCAGTCAAAGTTTTATTTGACCATATTGAAAAATCAGCTTCCAATATTCCCACAACATATAGGAGTCAACGGGAGAGGTTTGATTATCAGTTATATGCTTTGTATGGCAGTCTGTGAAACCTACTATCTTAATCAATCTCAGGGCTTTTAAGACGTGTTACTTTTTGGAACAAGGCTCGCAGTTTATTTGCTAATGACATTCAGCTCCTGTATGATTCAACCTAGAAATTGGCTTCCCTGACAACCAGATCATGACATGACTAGTTTTGTTGCTCAGACACAGGCTGCAATAGAGGAGTTGAAGATGTTTTTGCAGGAAGACAGTCATCAAGGATTGTTAAACAAATTGAATAACTTGCATGTAGTGTTGGTTCTTCGTGAAATGCACTCTAACTTTGCTCATGTGCAATATCAACTTCTGATCAGTCAAGAGGTATCCTCCATGGATGCAATCTTTACTCGTCTCTTGAGGGTTCCTACTCCTACAGACTCAAGCTCCAACACAATTGACACATCAGTCCTAGTAAGCAATTCGGGATCTCGTGATGGATGTGGAGTACGTGGCGGTAGAGGAGCTTGTGGAACTCAAGGCGGTTGTGAAGGACGTGGTAGCAATCTTTATTGTATAACCTGTAAAAGATAAGGCCACACTCAGGAGACTTGTTACCCTATTAATGGTTTTCCTAATAAAACTATTAATGTCAGTTAGTATTACCCAAAACAAGACAAGAGATCTGATGCTCCATCCGATGAACCATCTATTACCCTTTCAGAGTTAGAGTTCCAAGAGTACCTCTAATTAAAGGCAACAAAGCAGAATCAGTATTCTACTGCCAATATCGCTCATACGGGTAATCCTACAATGTGTATTTCTCATACAGGTAATAATTCAAGTTCCTAGATCCTTGATTCAGGGGCCTCCGACCATGTAGCTAGTAATCGATCACTTTTCTCTTCTTCTCCACCTGATGTTCCTCGTTTTGTCACCTTAGCTGATGGTTCTAAAGTTTCCACTCAAGGCATTGGTCATGTTTCATTCCATTTATACTGTTAAAATCAGTCTTATTCATATCTGAATGTCCCTGTGATCAATGCAATGAACAAAATCCATTTTATGATCAATTTATAGAACCAACATGGTTTTACAGCTCCGCCATTCTCTCTTAAAACTGCAATACCCAAATATCTCCAAGACTCTTCAAACTTTCTCCACCCCAATCAACAGTCATGACATTAAGTTAAGTTTAGAAGGATCATTCAGCAAATGTTCAAGTGACAATTCCATATTATTGATTTTAAAATCTAGTCATAACTTATAAATGAAAATGCACAACCAAAGAAAGCACTTTAGATCTGAAAATGAACTAAAAACAAAAATTGAAAATGTTTGAAAACTACCTTTGTAGGAACATAGGATCCACGACCCATTTGGATGAGAAGGTGTGTATACCCTTTCGCAACCAACTCTTGTTTAACATTCTGGGAACCCACCGCTCTCACAAGAGCATCGAAACAAGTAGTCCCTACAGTCACGAAAACGACTCTCCTTGTCTTATCCTCATCCCCCATTCAGTCACACCAGTCAATCCCCCCAAAAAATACAGAGCTTGAAAGTTTATTGACATCAGAAAGAACAAATAGCCTTCAAGAGAATTGATTCCATCATTGAACAAAGTATCACAAACAACCAATGAATTGATTCAATTCAAACAGCCACAAATCCAATTCAAATCAAATTACAACAAAATCCAATTCAAATCAAATTGCATGAAAATGGGTGTTGCGAAACATGGTAAGGAGGAGAGAAATCTGAGAATCAAATTGAATGAGAAAAGGTGTGTTCTGCATAACAAGCCAATGAAGTGGCTTGCAAAGATCAAAGAAAGTAAGGACAGCCCAATTATATAATTAATTAGCTTTAAGATAGTAGCTATTTCTGTGTCTTTATCAGGGTGTGGTCCAATATCCGAAAGGAAATGTCTAGTGTCATCAACTCTAGAGTTATAAAAACATGATAGTAGCTGTTTGTCAATTATTATTATTACTATTGATTTCATAAACACGAAGGCTAGGCAAGGCGGTTTGTGATCTCGTATTTACCTTATGTTGTGTTTTTGGTAAGTTGTAGTTGTATTTCAAAAGTCGTATGCATATAGATCTCTAACAAACAATATTGAAGAGGGGATAAATTTGACATAAAGCCATATTGTGCTTACTCATACCTTAATTATTCTTCATCAATGCACTACCTTTATTATTGAATTTAAATTAGTCATCACAAATAGCAAAACTTTAAGGTGGAAGAATTGGGGCCCACAAGATGCTGTCTTCTTTTTACAAATCGCTCCTGCAGTCAAAAAATAGTGTAAGCTAAAAAAAGTAGGTAGAAGAGTTTGAGCTAAAAAACCTTCAGGAGGAATATATGACTTAACAACTTTATGTGAAGTAGGTTCCCTGTAGGTCAGAATGCTAGGGGAATATTAATAATTAGGAAAAACATTATAAGTACATCATGCACCATTTAATGTGGTTTGGCCCAACATGCCTCCATCCGCAGATGAGAAGAGTCATTTATGAGAACAAGATTACAGGATAATACTTGTGGCCATTCTCAATCACCTGTATCTCACAACTCCTCACCATTATCCCTACATCTCTACCAAACCTATAAATCTATCCCTACTTATGCCTCAAACAATTCCCCAATACTAGTAGTTATATATCATACGTTACATGGCAATCAACTACTTCCACTTTGTAATTATCTTTATCCTTATCAAGATAAAAACTGTCCTATTTTCTCGTTCATAAACAAATCTCATATATCTTGCATATCTCTCAGATATCTTTCATATTTATTACATATTTCATTTTTACGTGAATGAGTATACACTTTTAAATAATTAATTCTAAATGGACAAAAATATAGACTTCAGATGGGTATGCGTGCTATTAAATAATAACATTGATCAAACTAGGTTTACTTTTTGTTGCGGCATGGTACTCCTAATTACATGAAAGCGTAGGTGTTGAATATTAGCAGCAAGCGATCTTAGCAAATTCAACATGTCCTCGGGTTTCTCTGGGTCTTGACGCTTGAAGTGCATTTGGCATTTTGTTTTGAAATTTTATATTTTCCAAATGAATTTGTTGAAATATATAGTCCCACATTGATTGGATGGGCAAGTAATGTGACATTTATAAGGCCTTGGGCACTCCCACCCCTTGAGCTAGCTTTTAGGGTGGTGTATCCCAAAGTTCTTTACATGGTATCAGGGCCTCACCGTCCCCCAGCACTTTAAAAGTGGAATTAAAATAAAAAGCACAAAAAGGTAAACCAAAAATTGGGCCTGTGCAATTCCACCCTTCTAACCCAAAGAGCTCTTGCGTGAGGGAGCGTGTTGAGATATATAGTCTCACATTGATTGGATGGGCAAATAATGTGACCTTTATAAGGCCTTGGGCACTCCCACCCCTTGAGCTAGTTTTTAGGGTGGTGTATCCCAAAGTTCTTTACAGAATTAAGCATCTTAATCTTATAATTTTAAAAGGATCTAGACAATAATTAATAGTAATTATACATAATTTATGCTTTAACTGTACATAATTTAAGATCATTAAATTTAATAAAAAAAGATAACCGCAAATATTAACTTTAATGATAAAAGAAAAAACATGAATTTAGTTATGATGAAGATAAAAAACCAGACATGAATTTAATGGTAAATATGTTAAGATATTTTATTCATTTAATAAAAATACAATAAATAAAATAATTTAAAAATAATATTTTATTTAGCTTTTGGTACAATGGATGCAGTCACATTTTTTATTTTTGATACAATGGAAGCAGTCTCAATACTCTCATTTATTATTAATTTAATTAGCTTTTGCATAATATCAGACAGGCGTTGACAAAAGTGATAACTGACAATATCTTTCTTTCATCTTTCCTGATCCTTCTATTTCAAAATTTACAATACAGTGCATGTCATCTGAAAATTGCTCCAGAAAACGTGACATATAGAACAAAAAGACCATTTTTGCTATATTCAGACACCTAGATAAAAGGTTTGAGCACAAATGTATAATCTGACATGAGGAAAGGAAAAATAATAGCAAAGTAGAAACTCTTATCTTAGGTAATGAAACAAAAAGAGTTGCACCAAAATATTCACTTTACCGTTTTCATACCTGATGGCACCAGTTGTAGGAGTGTGGTCAAAGTCCAAACTGCAAGACAAGAATCACATTGACAATTTCATGAAATAGTCAATTACGTTGACCTCAATCATCAACAACAAATAGCATTCAAGTCATGAATGATTAAAGGCTACATAAAGCACTTCGGCAGCAATTACAAAGTAAAAGTCTGAAGAAAACTAAGGTGTCAGCCATGACAATTTATCGATCTAGTATTTTGCTCTTTATCCTTTTGATGGATATATTTTCTGGTTTCGAATCTACCCCTCTCAAAGTAGGTGAGTCGCTTATTAAAAAATTAAATAAATAAAAGCATGTGAGATCAGAACCCCTGCAGTTTTTGTGGAACAGAAAGGGATACAAATCTGAGTTTCCATCGCAAGCATTTCTAACTCAGATCTCCAATACTTTTTTAACATAAATTTTATGAGAGATAATATAGGTACTCAGACTACATTGTTAAATTAAATGAGACAACAATTCTAACCCTTTTTCTTGCTTTAATTAATTGCAAATTCAACCAGGATTGTCATCATCTCTCTAGATTGGAAAATTCATAGGTAATGCATATTTACAACAATAATAATACCAGATAAACACTGAAACTTAAAAAACTAGTCCTAACCATACAACAATAATCCAGATAAACACTGATTGTAATTAAGTAAGGTGTCAAATAACATTGCAGATAAAGTCTTTTTGGGTTAATAGTAATACCAGTGCCATGTGTGATTAAATCACCATTCATCTATCTACCTCCTATGTGTGAGTTAAAATATTTACAGCTTGAAATCAAACGGGTTAATGGAAACTATCTAAAGAAAAAAAATGCCATAGACAAGGGCACAGTTTCTAATCAACTACTTTGTCGGCAGATCCTGTCCAACAGTAATCCAGAGAGCAAAGAGTGATTAAAAGATGAAACAAAATGAAGAAATTTGATAATTAACACAGCATTTCCCTCTACAAGTAATTTGTAGGCCAACCAGAAGAATCATGAAAAAGTAAAAGTAAACAGAAAATATAAAGAAATATACAAAGGTGTTATTATTCATTAGTGGTCAATAAAACAGAAAATTAGATATAACAAGAGTTAAGATATATCATGAACAACTCAAAACATGGCAAGTAAGTAGCAGGCTAGCAGTACATAATTCTATGCTAATCATCACTAAAAGCTAATAAAAAATAAGAAGTAGCATGACTGGTGCATGGGGAAGCTGAAGCAATTAGGGAACACTTAACACTTTAACCAATTATGGGCTAGATAGATGAATTTAATGTTGATGAATTACTTATTCAAAATTTAAAATGAATGAATGGACCAGAATACCATTAATTAAAAAAAGAAGATAAAAAGCTTCATGTAATAAAGTAAAAATCCACTAGTACTGATATAAATATGACATAATGATGTTTGCAACTTTGCATATTTCTTGGATAACACACATCTCAGACAGATATTTATCAATAACAAGATGCCCATATACACGAGTAAATACTGTGTTTCTAAATATTATATAACTATATGTATAATTAAGATTTATTAAACAGAAAGGACGGATTTAAATCTGTTGGCCTATAATATCACATGGTCAAAAAAATTTAGTATAAGACTTTATCTTGGGTACCAAAAAAAAAATGATATTTAAAATGCTTTAATCCTATGCAGCATTAAAAACAGCAGAGAAAACATGAGTAAATCATATTGCAAAATCATGGTTAATTTTGCCGACACAAAGGTACGATACAAAATGCACGGAAGACCCCTCACAAAATCCGGGGGTGTTTGGAAAAATCACAGGATGAAGAAGCTGACAGATTCCTACAAGGAGGATGATAATAACCAATTCCATGTTTCTGCAACAGAAGGGAGAGGGATTTTGGGCAATACCAGAAGCAGGGGAAGGAAGGAACAATCTGGCATTTCTGAGGAGGAAGGGAAGGGCATATTTCAAATCAAAGAGGAAGAGGGAGTGGAGGAGGAAGAAACAATCATTACAGGAAGGACCAAGCCATGAAGAAGCATTTTTCTGATTGGGTAGTTATCGGCATCTGGTCGGAGACCGTTTGGATTGTGGCTACATGTGAAACCTAATTTTCTGCAGGGTTGAATTTCAGTGAGGTGCGTAAACAAAGAGCATAGATTATCACACTGATAATGAGACTATGAGAGACAAAGGGGTGATTAACGCATCAAAATTGGTGAGAATATTAAGAACGTAATATGATAGATTAGCTGGTTTATGGTTGTGAAAGTGTCATAAACAGATGCAGAAAAGAATAATATTATGGCGAATTAGTTCTGGTGCGTGGAAACAGAGTGGAGGACGGCGAAGCAGATAAGTATTGGATTGAGAAGAATCAATGAATTAAAAATAGAAACAATAATTAATAGAGAAGCTGAGAGAGATAAAACCTTACACGGAATTGGAAGGCAACGAAAAGTGTGAAGGAATAAGAGAGGGTTTTGGATATATCATATAGCGGAGCAGCTATCTATAGAGATAGGCGCGATGAATCGAGAGCTTTGTTTAGAGCTGTCAAAACAGGCTAGCTCGACCCGTTTAGCCCTAGCTCGTGTGGGTTAGGGCTAAAAAGCCCGCAAGGCCAAAAAGCCCACAATGATATAGGCCCGCATGGGCCAAAAGCCATATGGGTTAGGGCCAGCCTGTGAGCCTTCCAAAAATGTAATATTTTTTTCATTTAAAAAACAATCAGATGCTCATCCTCTTTGCGAGTGACAGAATAAATTATGTGACCTTTGGTGTGGCTGAGCAAATCATATTAGAAATAAAAATTCCTCAAAATATGAAGCTATTGGTAAAGGCTGCTACCATTCCTGATAACAATAAGAAAACAAGATATATACATATATTGTAAATGAGAAACCAAATGAAAGGGTGAAATATGTTTCTTTTCAAACTAAAACACCTTGCGGACTAGATGTTTACACTTCAAAAAAAAAAAAATCAATAGTCTATAAAAAAAATAACATGCCAAATTTTAACAATAGTCTACGCCAAATTTTAAAAACAGTCTATGAAATATCTCATCATTTCAGCATAAACAGGACAAGTTAAAAGATAGAATCCACAAACAGAAATATTCTAAATCCATTGGAAAACAGAGCAAAATTTTTATTGTCCAACTTTTTCACAGTACCATGGATCTGGGTTCCTGTTGTTCACCCAGGTGACATTCAAAGTAATTGCCACAATAATGCTGGCAGCTTCAACATCGAACTTGCATAATATTCAACATCAAGCTACCTCTACAAGCATATCTTTTGGTGCTCCCACTTCTTTACTTTAATAAAAAAAGAGTCGTATAATATTAACTATAAAAGCGGGGTAAAATAAATATTCTTAAATGAGTTTTTTTAAAAAAAAAAACTGTTTTTTTAAAATAAACATTAGCTATCTTATGTGATATACAGTTTTACTGTACTCATTACGAGGCTACATGTTACCGTTAGTTAAAACTTGTACATGAAAGAAAACAAATATTGAGGGAAGCTTCTAATATGGAAAGCTCATTCATTGTTTAGTATGTAGTAACCAACCCACTGCCAAAAAAATTAGAAATAACTGAAATAGGACTATTTTCTTAGCTACAGAGCAGATATTATCACAAACATCTTTTAATTTTGGTGCGGCTAATGATCTGAAAATTTATGAAAGTAAATAGTGAAACATGTTGAATCTCACTGTCTTGGCATATGAGTTTTGCAGCTGGCGGTCACTTGCAGGGTGTTGCGTGAAAAAGGGATGCAGGCACCATATGTATCTATCAAACAAGATCATAGATACATAAACAAAACATGAATTTAGACCTGGAACATTCATAAAGACCCAATACGAGCACCCCAACTTCAAACAAATATAAACCCAGAAATAAAGCTCCCCAACTTCAAACACCAATATAAAGCCAGAAATAAAGCTCTCATAAACTCTAGCAAATCTTCCATTTACAGCAAAGACAATATATCTGAACCAAATTTTGCTACTTTCCAGCATCCCAACAGTGCCTATGCTTATGTTCATTTAACGAATTCATCATTCACCCATTACAAGTTAGAAAATATTCACCCATTACAATTTAGAAAATAAAAAAATAAACTAAGTCATTCAGCCATGTCAAATATAAGGCATTTCATCATAAAGCTTGTGGGCAACCAGAACAAACACTAAATTAAAGAAACAGTTTAGTATACTAGAAATAAAATCCTCAAAATCAGTCTCCCCAAGCTACTCTATACAACACGAATCAATAAAAAAATTAACAATAAAAAGGTACGTTTTAGCTCAGGTAATGATGGATAAGTCCCAATTACACGATGAAAACTCACAACCAATGACCATTGAAAAAAAGAGAACTTCTTAGCCCCTTTTCAAAACCCAAAATGATCTTCAAACTTTATCACAAAAAAACATACCCATAACTGAATTTTCACCTTATTGCAGATCCTCATCTTTCCATTTCTGATGAAACCCAAATTCTGATACGTGTTGCACTTTGAATCTGAGCAATACCACAAAACTCGAAATTAGGGCTCCATATGGATTACGAAAATGCAATCGGGTGTAAGAGAAATTTACAATGAATGATGTGAAGAAGAAAATAGAATGCTGTAATGTGTGGTTCCTTCAAGTGCGTTCCTGCTTAATTGATTCTAACAAACCCAAACTATACTATGCTTTTGAGAAAGGGACGAAGCATTTTGAATTTTCTAGAAAAAAACGGTGGGTGTCGTGGAAAACAACTGAACGAGAGAAAGTGTAAAATGGGTGCAATAATTTTGGCCCTCGCGCCACCGCCAAGCCCCGTAAACGAGAGATCGTTAAAGGGAAAAATTTTCAATAGTCATAAGGGAAAAAATATTTTCATTTTCACCTTTTTTTTATATTTCTCTTTAAATTCCAATATAAAATTCCCTTGTACCGAGGGGCTATTTGATTGAAGGATTCTTTTCAGAATGATAGATAAATGGGAAGTGGAAATGTATGAAACCATCGTTTGGTTGAATTAGCTTCCTCACTTAGCTACCTAACTGTGATTGCTACCAAACCTATTTCCCTATCTTTTTCTACCGAGATTGCCGGTCAAAGTTGCCCTTTTACAAGGTGGTATTGTTGAAAACCACCATATTTGCTCACTTAGCTACCTAAAGAAAAGACCAGCGTACCCCTTGTGGGAGGTAACTCGGTGGAACAAAAAAAATTGGGTGCGTTCTCTGCTCTGCTCTGTCATTTACCTTCTCTACTCTGTTTTCCGCTTGTGGCGTCGTTCGCGATCCTAGTTTGGGCGCGCAGGTTCATGCCCAGACACTGTTGGTTGGTGGGTTTTACTCTGATTTGTATGTCAACAACACCATGATCGATATGTATGTGAAATCTGGGCTTTTGCATTGTGTGTGCATGGTGTTTGATGAAATGGTTGAACGGGATGTGGTTTCTTGGACCGAGTTGATTGTTGCGTATGCCAGGAGTGGGGATATGGTGTCTGCACTGGACTTGTTCGATGGATTGCCTGTTAAGGATATGGTGGCTTGGACTTCATTGGATGATAAAATTATGTGGTTGGTGCCGGTTCGTAAAAACAAAACGGGTTATTTTCGTAAAAATAACTTTTTTTCTCATTTATATTTTACCTACACCCAAACATAGACTTTATAAAAGTTACCTAATTTTTTCATCAAAATTTTATCCCACCAAACAACTTTTTTTACATTTTCCTATCAAACTCATATTCCAATCATTTGCCTAGTAATCACATTTTCCTATTATTCATAAAATCTTCTCCTCAACCAAATGCCCCTGAAAGTTTTCTCGTTGATGAGGGATTGGGGTTAAAATGGCTTTTTTGAATATAGGGCTAAAGCCCTTCTTCACAGCAGGCACTCCTTACTAAAAAAAATAGGGTTATAAAAAATAAATAATTATAAAATAGGGTTATAAAACTCATTTTCTCACTGGAAATTGTAATTCCCAATAAAAAAAATTCATGATCTATCAAACGCGCCACATAGGGTGTGTTTGGTTGGGGAAAATATTGAGATAGATGAGTAAGTGAGAAGTGAGAATAGAAGGTAACAATGTTTGGTTGAGCCAACTTCCATACTTACCTACTTAAATCACTATCCTACCATTCTCCGTTGCATATCTATTTTCATCAATTTAGCCGGCAAAACTTTCCCTTTCATCATGTGGTATTGCTGAAAAGCAGCCTATTTGCTGACATTGTGGTTTAACCAAAAGACCAACGTACCTTCTCTTAGCGTGCGAAAGGAAAATATCGGACCAAATCTATTTGCTTTTGTTGTTAAAGTTGTCACTGCTCAAAGACCAACACTTGCACAGAGGCACACGGAAAATAGTGTGGCTGGGATTTGTGGAATACAAAACAAAACAAAAAATAAGAAAAGAAAGATGGGGCTGTGGTTGGGGTTCGTTTGTGAAAGAAAAAGAAAATTTAAGAAAAGGAGGAAGGACGATGGTGGTTCGGAGAGAAGAAATATGGGGTTGTGGTTTTGATGGTTGGTTGACAATGTTACCGGTATAGATGGTGGTTTGTTAATGGGTCTGTGGTGGCTGTGATTTTGGAGACTAGGGGAAGGGAAGGTGGTCATTGGCAGGCGGTGGGGTTTGTGGGTCTTCAAAAAAAAAAATTGGAAAGGGGAGGGGGGACGGTGGTTGCTATGAATGAAGAAGAATATTTTTACAAGGTTATTTTGGTAAAAGCACATTTTTTTCCCATCTATATTTAACCAAAAGCCAAACATAGACTTTACAAAAGTTACCTAATTTTCCCGGTAAAATTTTTCTCAACCAAATAACTATTTTTACATTTTCCTACCAAACTCACTTCCCAACCATTTCCGTACTAATCACATTTCTCTATGATTCATAAAATTTTCTCTTCAACCAAACGCCCCCGCCATATTTCTCTATGATTCATAAAATTTTCTCTTCAACCAAACGCCCCCGCCCCTGAAAGGACAACATTTAGCACTCATACTCTAGCCCAAATGTGAGAACAACTACCCTTTCCGAGGATTCTTTTCATACTGAACACCAGCCTGACTTTTTTTCCTCAAGCATGAAATTACTAAACTCAAAGAGCCACAATGTATCTTCGGGCCACGAGTAATCCAACTTTGTGTCTTAAAGCCGAACATTGGTATCATACGAAAGGATTGAATTGGGCCCAAAATAAGATTTAAAAATGACCTTCACGTTACGAGGACCTGGCTTCCAAAACTATGAACATGTGGGCCTTGACAATGGGCTACCGCCATAGTACTAGACTGCTAGGTCTATTGTTGTCACCGATGATAATATGCAAGTTTTAAGGTGTATTCCAATGTTGTTAGTATCGCACGATACACGATACGTATCGCATGGTTCGATCCGATACGAGGGAAAATGATTCAAACTGCATCATTGAATCGTTTTTGCACTGAATCGTCCTGCTGAATCGTGGAATAGAACGATTCAGTTGTGAATCGGTGAATCGTAAATATTGTGCGATACAATTTTTAAAAATCAAAATCAAAATCAAAAGTCAGGATTTGAATTTAAAAAAAAATATATCAAATTTCAAAATTTGAAAGATCACGAAATTTGGATTCTCAAAGGTCGGTTGCTTCAGAAACAGAAATATTAGGGATTCAAAATCCCATTAAACAAACAAATTAAAGAAAACAAGAAAGAGAGAAGAGAATCAAAGAACAGAAAGAAAAACGAAAAATTGCTTGCAAACTATGAAGAAGCGAAGCGAAGAACGAAATTCAGACTTCAGAGTCAGAGAGAACGAGACGAGCTGGGAAGAAGGCTTGCAAACTGCTTTTGGGTCATATTTTATAATTGGTGTTTGGTAATTTAACTTTAAAAACTTAAATATATTAAAATATTATGTAAGGCATGTGTGGTGTCCGTTGAAACTTGAAAGTTGATGGGTATGTGGCTACAAGATGATGGGCTGATTAAAAGTACGTGCTGCATCTTTGGGTTACGTGGTTTCACCATGAAAAAACACTTGGTCTTGCAATCATTTTAATATATTTAATGAGTTCGCAAGTGACAAACTGCTTTTGGGTAATATTTTTTGCCTTTGATTTTTTTTTTCTCTTTTACAGTAATAGAAATAATAAAATGGCTCCAAAGAAGATATGGGAGATGAGTCAGATATGACTCTACTAATGGAGAGGAGAAGGACTAGATATGCCAATACTAGATCCTAATAGTGATAGTAGTGACAATATTAGTCTTGAAATACTCTTTTACAGTATTTAGATTTTTTTTTAATTTTGATTTATATGATATTATATATTTTTGTTATTTTTAATTTGTTTCTGAATCTTACGATTCGATATGATTCGATACGATTCACGATACAAAAAAGCAGCCGAACGATTCACGATTCGTATTGCGATTCAACAACCTTGGTGTGTTCCTTACTCCTTACCCTAAGTGCCTGTTTGGTGTGACGTATAAGACCTGATAGTATAAGATTATATTATACGTTATGACTTTTTCAGTTGTTTGGTGTGACCATCGTATAGTATAAGCTTATACAGCAGAATTCCTTAATACATCAAAATGATGTATAACTTAATCCGGTCTTAGGGCCTGTTTGGTGTGACGTAAGGCATGATAGTATAAGCTTATACTATATGTTATGACATTTTCAGTTGTTTGGTGTGATCATCGTATAGTATAAGCTTATACAACATAATCCCTTAATACATCAAAACGATGTATAACTTAATCCGGCCTAAGGGTGATGGATAAGGCCTGATAAGAGATTGATGTATTAACATCGTTGACCAATGTAATTCTCAAAAATTAATATATTGTTTTAATATTAATCTATTAAAATAAAAATTAATTTTTCAATATATTAATTTTTAAAATATTGAATATTTTTATTTTTATAAAAATTAATTTATATTTTGGACACACTGATCAATAAATTTTCAAAAAATTAATATCATATGACATTTTTTGAATAATTATATAAATTATTTATTAAATGATTTTTTTATTAAAAATATTTATTTTTATCATATATAGTATTATATAGTGAATTACCAAATACTAGATGATATTGTCGTATACAATATATTATTTTATACAATACCGTGCCAAACGCTGGATAGTATTAAAATTCAATCAGGTCTTATACAATCAGGCCTTATATTATCAGGTCTTATACTATCATGCATTATCCTATACTATGCACCAAACACTTCCTTAGGGAGAGGGATTAGGCATGATAATGGATCAACGTATTAACATTGCAATTCTCGAAAATTAATATATTATTTAATATTAATATATTAAAATAAAAATTAATTTTTCAATATATTAAATTTTAAAATATTGGATATTTTTATTTTTTAAAAAATTACTTTATTCTTTGGACACACTGATCAATAGATTTTTATAAAAATTAATATCTATGATATTTTTTGAAGAATTATATAAATTGTTTATTAAAAGATATTTTTATTAAAAGATATTTTTATCAAAAATATTTATTTTTATCCTACAGTTCATTACCAAATATTAGATGATATTATCTTATATAATATATTATTTTATACAATAGCATGCCAAACGGTAGATAGTATTAAAATTCAATAAGGTCTTATACTATCAGGTCTTATCCTATATTATACACCAAACATGCTCTAACTGTTGAAGTTTAAATTTAAGGAAAACTTTATTTTCATCCATTGCGGTTTTGTGATTTATTATTTGACCTCCCGTGGTTGTAAACTTATCACTTAGACCCACTGTGCTGAAATAATTTATCATTTAACCCCCTATGGTTTCAAATTTTTACTTAGATGGTTACAAAAAATTTCACTTAAACCATTTGTGGTTTAAAAATTAAACATTTTAAAAACATATTTAAAATAAATTTTCTCTCTTTTTTATTTTATATCCTCATGTAATGCATTTAGAGTTTGAAAAATATTTTGAGTTATTTATTCTGAAATTAATTTATAAATTATCTTAATTTTTTTATTTTAAAAATATATTTGAAATTAAAAAGATTATTAAAGATGAAATTAAAAAAATATTATTTATGATAAATTAAATATGTACTATCAAAATAAGATGTTTACTTTCTTTAAATAGATAAAATAAAAATATTTGATTTGAATTTATTTTCTTTATAAAAATAAGTTAATTTTTTTAGAAATTATTTTTATTTTTTAAACCTTAAATGCATTAGGTGAGGATATAAAATAAAAAGGAGGGAAAATTTATTTTCTTCTTAATTATTTTTTTAAAATTTTATTTTTAAACCACAAGGGATCTAAGTGAAATTATTTTTAACCACAAGGAGTCTAAGGGAAATTATTTTTAACCACAAGGAGTTTAAGTGAAAATATGAAACCACAGGGAGTTAAATGATAAATTATTTAAGTACAATAGATCTAAGTGATAAGTTTAAAACCACGTGAGGTCAAATGATAAATCACAAAATCACAATGGGTGAAAATGAAGTTTACCCTTAAATTTATAACACTATTTAAGAGTATTACTTACTTCTTCTTTTTTTCCGGTAAATTAGAGTATTACTTACTTTATTAAAAAAGAAAATATTTGTCATTTTAAATAATATAAAATTATATCATTTTAAGAGAGAGATAGACACAAATTAATTTTTTTTTTAAAATTTAAATTAAAAAGAGTCATTCACTTTCTCCTCTTGATTTTCATTCTTCATGTTTATCTCTCTCTTAAAATGACATAAATTATGTCCTTTAAAAAAACAAACATCAAACCTTTGATAAAATGCATTAGGTCGATGTCAAATTATATTTTTAAGATACTTCAAGAAACAACTTAATCTTTGCCTGTGCAAAAGTTCACTCGACGCTGTCCTTCTTGCGTATTAGACAAAAATATATGGCATTTGATGAAATAAAGGAAAATGAATAAAAACATTCTTAAAAAAATTTTAAATTAATTAATGGGAAAGGATATTGTAACAACCAAGTTGTGTTACTACCAAGTAACTACCAATCAATCTCACCGATAGATCGATTATGTTGATCTAACGGTTATATTTATTTTCATCTTTGTATAGTCATGATTCTCCATATTTAATACTTTATATTTATTTTCACCTTTGTATGATTATGATTTTCCATATTTAACGTTTTCACTTTAAATATGGGAATCATGATCATACAAAGATGGAAATAAATATAACCGTTGGATCAACTTAATGGATCTAACGGTGAGATTGATTGATAGTCACTTGGTAGTAACACAACTTGGTTGTCACAATACTTAATTTAATTTATAAACAATTATCCTGTTTGGAATTCATTGCAAAAAAGTAGTAATAAAGTTTATTTGTAAATCAAAATTTATCTTTGCAAAACCTTAAAGAAGACAGAAAATCATTTTTAGTTTAATTTCTTTCTCTTAATAAAATTATGTATAATGGTAAATTAATAAAGATAAAACTGATAGTTTAAACAATTAAAAATTAAATCAAATCAAATCCATCCTTACCTTAAAAAAAAATCCGTTCAAATCCAACCATTTTCTTTTTGGTAACAAAATCCAACCAATTTTGAATGCATATCTTAATGCACATAACATATATAAGAAGGAATTAAAAATCAAATAAATTCGTATTTTAAATCGTTCCAATCAAAAAAATTCATTTCCAAATTAAATCATTTTCTAAATATAATAATTCCAAATATACTGTAAATTTATATTCATTAAACATCAAATAACGTAATTAATTTGGTTAATGAAAAAATTGATCTAAGAATAACAACAAAAGACAAATGAATATATTTAAAAGAAATTATACAACATTTTTTTAATTAAAGGGATAGGTTTTACCTTGAAAATGAAAAAAAAAAACTACATATAGAGATAAACGATAGAAATAAAATACATTTTTTAAAATGATTGTTCCAACTATCTTATTATCTAATGTTTTGTTTATGGGGTTAGTGTTTATTATTTTAAAGAACATAAAATTAACTTATTTAGTTAAAATTACAATGTTTTATGTGGTAAAAGAAAGAGTTATATAATAGAAATTATATTGGAAGAAAATGAAAGAATTATTTAATATAAATATTAAATAAAAAAATCATTTTAATTAAAAAGACGGTCCATTAAAAGAATAAATAGTTTTCTTTGTTTTATTTATTTATTTTTCAATCGTTTCATTTAATTATCCAATTATTCGAAGAGCTCGGTGCAATGTACAGAGAGCGGTTCTGATAAATCCATTTTTTCTCCTCCTCAGAACTTGCACTCTACAATATTAAGAAAAATAAACTTAGGTGCTGTTTGGTATGCGGCATTTTATAAGATTACCGGGAACTGAATTTTTCTAAATTTTAAATTTTCAGATATTATCGTAAACTGAATGTAAAAATCATATTTTTAAAATTCGAGATTCCTGGACAAATAAAAATTTCTCCTGTACCAAATGTCCCTTTAAGAAATCAGCAGTTTCTTTTGAAAACTACGCATTTTGTAATATTTTTTTGTTTTACAAAAAAATCTTATCCAAACATGTTATAAATCTCTTATTTATGCATCTCATTTTAGTGGTAAACAAATTAAGAAATGTTAAAATAAAAAATCTCATCTTACCGAATAAAAGAAGGTGAAGAAAATTGAAAAAGTATGTGTCCAAAAAAATAATAAAGAAACTAAAAATGAAAATAGAGAAAATGGGGGTAAAGAGAGCAAACCCTAGAAGAGGCCACTTTGTATATAAAGGGGCTTCAATTCACTACAGTCTCTCACCGATTCACTTCTTCATCTCTCTCGCTAATTCACAATGGGGCTTTGTACAGTTCAGCCTATCACTCTCTCAAAATTTCCCAATGCCTCACCATTTTTTCGTAAACCCTCTATTCCTCTCAGACAAACCCCCTTCACTACCACCGCTGCTCTCTTATCTCGTATGTTCTTCAATCCGAACCGAAACCTATGATTCTCATTTTTTTTATTTTTTTTATTGTCTTTATTTTTACTTAAATTGTTGTCCTTTTGCTCTTTAAACCCTTAAGTAGCTCTTAATGTTTGAGATTTGAGCTGGCTATCATTTTATTTTACCATAAAGTTTTCATTTTTTAAAACCTTGCATGTGCTGTTGAGTGGAATAAATTGAGGCGTTAATTTGCGTCGCGCTCTTGTTAACTAAGCTTTTGGAGTATATGCGGTTTGTTGTGGTTTATTAGTGAAACTGCATTTTTAACTGCAGAATAATGATGAAGGGAAAGTGTAAAGTTCTTGATTGATGTTGATGTTGTTTTATGTTGTGTCAGGATCGATTTTCCTGAGAGATTTGTTGCCAAGGGCTACAACATCTGAGGAAACATCCAATGGGGCTAGTCAATTTTTTGATGAGAAACGTGATGGTGTCATAATTCTGGAGGATGTCAAAGCAGCTGATAAGAATGAGTTCAATGAAACTGAGGTGACTGAAGACACAAAGGAAGAGTTACCTGCAGATGAACAAGGCCTGTCCATGGATTTGCTGGATAAGCTCAATGTAAGGGTCACTTCAACTACCTTGCCTGTTTAGTTTTCGTATTATGTTTACACTAGTGTATTGATTTTGAGTTTGGAGTTTCAGTGCATTTGTATTTTTTTCCCACTGATTTAGATTGGTTTTTATTTCCATATTGAGTTGCTATGATGAAACTACAGTTTATTGATGGCATTTATGAAATGCTTGATGATACTTCGGCAGTCATGTCGAATCTGAGCGGTTACCTGAGCAACTCTAAATGGTTTTGATTTTTGTTTTTCCTTTTCTTCATGTAATTGTTTATAGTTTTGACTTATGAGGATTTTACTTGAGCCTTCCCTGTGCAAAAAAATTATTTCTGAGCCATTCTGCTTGTGATTTAGTTAAAGCTTTGATATGTGCTTTTCTTTAATGTTCTTTATCTGTTCTTTAAATTAAAATCATAAGAGGGACCTTTGCCATTTTATCTTTTTAATTTGGTTTATGATAACTGTTGGCTTATCTAGGGAGTGTCACTTTAACCTCCTTGACTGTTTAGTTTTCATAATCTATGGTGTGGAGTGTCTATATACACTAGTGTATTGATTATGAGCTTGGTGGCTCAGTGCATATGCATTTTTTCGCATTGATTTAGATTGGTTTTTATTTCCATATTGAGTTGTTATGATGAAACTACAGTTTATTGATGGCATTTATGAAATGCTTGATGATACTTCGGCAGTCATGTCGAATCTGAGCGGTTACCTGAGCAACTCTAAATGGTTTCGATTTTTGTTTTTCTTTTCTTTTCCTTTTCTTCATGTAATTGTTTATAGTTATGACTCATGAGGATTTTACTTGAGCCTTCCCTGTGCAAAAAAATTATTTCTGAGCCATTCTGCTTGTGATTTAGTTAAAGCTTTGATATGTGCTTTTCTTTAATGTTCTTTATCTGGATGATTTTAATGCTGCAACTTCCCTTTGAGTATTTTTCTATGTTCTATTACACCTTCTATTGCTGTTTGCTGTCATAATTAATTCTTGAGAAAGGGGTTAGTGTTGGTCCTTGTATCCATATTTTTGCCATGATTAGTGCGTACTATTTGCATGGAATACTAGTCATTGAGGTTCCTATGACATCCTTTGAGTAATTACCAGAGCAACCAAATCTAACTTAAAAAACCTCCATGAATATATAAACATTTTTATTATGTAGATTGGATATCTCATGAATTATAGCTGTATAAACTATTAATATATTTGCCCTGGCGAGTTTGTTCTTATTTTTGAGTGGTACGGTAGATTATGTTTTCTTGTTTTATGGGCTATTCTAGGTACTTTGTTTTGCAAACTTTTGCTAAAACACATTTTCTTTTACTCTTTTATTTTTTATTACATTACATATGCTGAACTGGTGAACTCAGGTTATCTAATTTTTTGATCTGGTCCCCCCCCAAAAAAAAAAGAAAAAAAATTGTTAGGATTCTGCTTGATTTATTGATGACTATTTCTTATTTTGTAAATTTTTATCCAAATTTATTATTACTTACTAAGTTCATAGCTTGAAAGCCATTGTGAAAATTTATTTCTCTGGAGGGACCATTAAAGCTCGGGTGTCTTCATTTTCTTCACTAAGGTGGTTTGATGTTGCTTTTTAAATCAAATATCTAGCGGACATTAAATTGTTTCTTGTGTGATTTTGTGATGCATAATAATTGGCTGGCACTTGTGAAACTAACTGCTTTTATTCCCTCTTATGGAAAGAAAGTTGGTTGTAATTTTTGCTGCCTATCTTGTGTGCATTGCATTATTTTGTTTTGTTTTTTGAAAAGTATGCATTGCTTTGTTGAGTTGCCTTATGGGTCAGTTTGATTTGCTAAAAAAACAAGGAACAACTCACCATAAGAAATAAACTCTGAATTTTTGTTACTCACTAAACTAGGTTACAAAATTTTGTTCACAACACAACCACTTGCTGAATTCTTCTGATTTTGCTGTTCTCAATGTGCATCAAATACACCCTCAAGAATTTTAATTACCTGGTTTTGTTGTTTTCTAACTTGTCCTGTTTTTTTTCCTTTTTACAGTTTGACACAGATGACACTGGTTCTCTTGTCTTGTATGGTGGTGGTGCTATAGTGGCTGTGTGGTTAACAGCAGCCGTTATAGGTGCAATTGACTCTATCCCATTGGTGTGTATCAAACGTCAATTATGTAAATATTTCAAACCACAAACCAACTTCTTTAAATGTTGACAATATTTGGTTCATTCCATGGCGCAGTTTCCCAAGTTGTTGGAAGTTGTAGGGCTTGCATATACAGTATGGTTCAGTTCCCGTTATCTGCTTTTCAAGGTACTTGACTCATTTCAGTTATTTTTGCTGATATGTGCATCTTGATTACCTAGATTAATTGTATTTGTTAACCTGCAGAAAAATAGAGATGAGCTGGCTGCTAAAATAGAGGAGCTCAAGGAACAAGTTCTTGGTTCAGGAGATAATTGATGAGAATATATTTGTGCTGTGCTTTAAATATGAATGTACAGTTACATTTGGTCTAGTTAAGGGAATATGTTGATTCTTCCCCATCCCCTATACCGCCCCTTTTGCTGCACAGGCAAGAACTGTATATGTAGTTTTGGTTGAGAAGTAAAATAGTCTGATTCAGCAACCGCCTTCTGGTATTTCTAGTACCAAAATTGTTCGTTGGCGCATTGTACTCGTCCTTTCCTTTCTCACTGGTTGCACATTCTGCAACAGATATTTTTAGTTTAAATAATGGCCAGGAAAGATTTGCATTTGTATTTTTTCAAGTTCTGTGAAACAAATTAAGGACTTCTATCGGGTTGAAATTATCATATGATTAGAAATTTAATTTTCAATATTTTGTGCCGATTAAGTTTTTTATCAATGAAATATTCTTTTAAAAGTAAAACTTTTAGCAAGTATAACTATCAAATTTTATATGAATGGAAAAAACAAAAATTAATTCCGTTAAAGGACTTAAAGCCAATTTGCGATGTAAAACTTACTATCGTGGTTCGTAGCTTAAATAGTTGGTAGAGATAGAGATCTTCTCTATCCATCACTAAGAGTGACTTTATTGAACAAAGTTGACCCATAGTTATCAGGAACTTGCTATTTTTTGGTTTATTGTGTTAGAAATGTAATTTAAACTGACTTTTTTTTTTTTACGTGTTCTTTTACAAATTTTCAGACATGGAAGCTTGCGGTGTTTTAGATTTTTTGAGTGAGAACTAAAATGATTTGTAACTCGTTTACTAGAAGTGCATGCTGGCCTTGCTGGGTAAAATTAATGATAATCAAGTTCAGCACATGCAGGCTTTAATTGTTGGTTAACCACCAGGCTTGAGGGATATCTATAAAGCTGCAACTGAAATTCATGCCTCTAAATTGACATCTACTGTCAAGTTATACTCTCTTTTCTGGTGTGCTTCCTAGAGGTGAAAATAAGAGTATAAATCAGTGTCTGCTTGTTAAGTTGAAATGGACATGTCAATTTTCACTCTCCCTCTTCATTTTCACTCGCTCTGCCAAGCTTAGCCTCAATCTTTGTCTTACTTAACCACTATTGAAATTTCAATGACTCGGTCAGTGGCTAAGAAGGGTCAAGAAAGCATTTGGTAGAAAAGCATGAGCTTATGAATGGAAGATACCATTTTCTGCAAACCGAACTTGATTTTAAAACAATAATAATAAGAAGAAGAAGAAGAAAGAAAGAAAGAAAAGGATGAACTTATCTGTAATGCATCATGTGACTTTTTCGGCTTATAATCAGAAGACGATAGCTAGCTTATAATCAGAACTTACCTGTAATGCATCATGTGACTTTTTTTTGGTAAAATATGTGTTGAGTCTTCGATACTACCATAGTGATATTAGGTCCACCTTCGACTAGATTGAGAAATAATAAAAAATAAGCCACTTGTTGTGGTCACTGTATTATAATTGTGGGACTTAGCCTATTACTAATTAACATCTTTATCACACTTGAATATCCCAACATATCCAACTGCTTATATACAGTAGGAACAACTCTTCGATTTCGAAGTTCATCTTTGACCGAATTAGGAAACAATAAAAAATAAGGACAATAATCGAGTGACTTAAGATTTTGGGTTAAAACATGTCACTGAACTCACTTGTTGTGTTTGGTATAACTTAGTTTGTTAGTGATGGTCCCTCTATCACAAGCTTCCAATTGCTCGCCTGACAGTTTAGCATATCTTTGTTACGGTAGAAGTAGGTACTCCTCACTAAAAATAGGAAAAAGTGGGAAATATTTATTATGGTCCAGGACCACCCAATGATCTGGTACTCCCTCTCACATCATCAATTTTTCCTTTCCCTTTTTATCCCTATTATTTTTTCTCTTTTCCAATTTTATCCCTCTATTTATACTAAGGGACCACCTAAAAAATGGTGGTCCCGGACCACAATAAATAATCTCGAAAAAGTGAGACTTAGGTGGCATTAACCATAAAAGGGTAAGTATAATAGGTAAAGTCAATTATATTACTTTTTTGTTTTCAATTTTAATAAAAGATGTAATGAGTCTTCGATACTACTGCAATGATATTAGGTCCTCCTTCAATTGGACTAAAAAATAATAAAGAATAAGTCATTTGTTATGGTCGATGGATTGGGCTTGGACTAGTGAGATATGAGACAAACCCATAAAAGAGTTGAGACGTGGCGGACCCAAAGTAGTTAGTGTAGTTTAATCTATTAGTAATAGCTCCCTCTAGTTATTGGTTTTTGCTTAATGCATTATTAATCAATCAATATGGGACTATATTCTCTTCCCCTAATTCAAATCATATCCATTGATCAATTTCTCTTTTTGTTTGGCTGTGGAATATAATATGATGTTGCCTTTATTCTCTTGACTTGTGTTTTCGCCGAGAGTGATTAAATTTTGGAAAATACTAATGTAACTATATCACTATATGAGACATCTTTTTTGGATTCATGACTCCATAAAGTTTAAACTCCATCAGTCCTAGCAAGCTGATTTCCAAATTTCTCAGTCATTTTTCTTCCATAATTTCTTATAATTCTACCTCAATATTATTCATTCATACAAATGATAATTTAAAGCAGCTGAGAGAAGCTTTACAGAATGTCGTATATTAAAAAAATGGCAATAATGAGAATTGGACTAAATTAACATGCTGTTTTGAAAATGGATAGATTAGTTTCGCTTTTTTCTTTTTTATGTTTTTATGTGTTTCCTTTGTTAAAGGCCACTACAAATGTGGAAAGGTAAAAAGCATGCGGATGCTATCTCCATTGAATGACATTCTTACACCCAAAATACGGGCAGAAAATTTCCAAACGATGTGTGAAAAAGTATTTTTGTTCAAGATGAGGTGATTTGATGGTCCTATTTTATGTATGTATAATAAACATATATATTTTAACAGAGTGACAAATAAAATGTTGTTTTTGCAGTTAGGAGCTCTTTCCAATTCCACCAAAAAGACTTTGGATATATTGCAATAGAAACTCATTTGACATCATGGAGCTCTTGCCTTCCTAATGATGGGAACTATGAGCCCGTTTGTTTCACCTTCTAAAAAAAAGTGACTTTTATTTCTTTCTTATTTTAAAAGTACTTTTTATAAAAGTTAAAGCTATTTATATTTTTATAAAAATATTTAGTTTTTGAAAAAAATATTTGGTTTTTTACTTCTGCTTTTTGTAGAAGTTAAAATTTTTAACTTTTGAAAAAAAGTAGGTTTTTGACTTTTTTGTGACTTCTGCTTTTTTTAAAAGTAGATATTCAAACGAACTAAAAATAAAAAGTGCTTTTTTTCAAGGAAAAAAACAACTTTTGAAGGAAAAAAAGCCCATCCAAAGGGGCTCTATATGTCATAGGAGAACTTCTCACTGAGGTCTCCGTATTGCTGAGAACCATCAGCCAATCGAGGAGAAGCAACACGGAATGTGAGAAGACAAATTCTCCTTTACAAGATGTCCATTGTTGATTGTGGGTATATATGCTGCTTCTTAGTGCATAGACATCAGAGCTTAGTGCACAATTCGTAGTCAAATGTAACTTTCCAACTACTTTAGAATTTTGAGTTGAGTAACCTAACTAAAGTGGTCAAAGTGGAATAACTGCTGCTCACGCACGTCCTTTCTGATCTTGTGGTGTTGAGTGGGATTTTAAGTTGCCAGTGAACAAAACTCAATAACCCACCTTATAGGGACCAAATTACCTATGGTCCCAGGTGAATGAATATATATTTCTAGTTGGTTAGGGTGTTTTGTATTTTATGGCTTTTTATCTAACAGGCAACAAAATTGGAAGTGTTTGTAGTCTTGACTCAAATTATTGCCTTCAACTAATAATATAGCAGGTTGCCATGCTGGTGCAAAATAAGTTGTTTGACCCATCGAAGGTCATCAGATCGTGTGTTTAGTGTGACGTATAAAGTTTGATAATATAAATTTATATTATATGTTATGATATTTTAGTTGTTTGATGCGATCATCGTATAATATATGCTTATACAGCAGAATCCTTTAATATATCTAATTAATATATATATATATATATATATATATATATATATATATATATATAGGGAAGATTAAGCCTGATAAAGAGTTGATGTATTAATATCGCTGACTAGTGCAATTCTCAAGAATTAATATATATATATATATATATATATATATATATATATATATATATATATATATATATATATATAGGGAAGATTATACTTACCATCAATTAAGTTTACCATTTCTTACCATCAAATATTAACCGTTGACTTCCATCAATCTCACGGTTAGATTTATTGGTTATTAATTAATTATTAATTTTCAATAAATTATAACCGTCGGATTGACGTAAATCAAAAGTTAAAATTCAGCGGTAAAAAATAATAAACTTAATTGGTCTTAGGTATAACCTTTCTCTTTATATATATATGAGACAGGATCCTTTGACACCGGTTTCAAAGGAAAAGTTTGACACCTCATCTGAGAGCCGTTAGATTAAAAAAAATCAACGATTCTGATTTGTAAGCATGTGACACCATTGTTTTTTTAATCTAACGGCTCTCAGATGAGGTGTCAAACTTTTCCTTTGACACCGGTGTCAAAGGATCCTGCCTCTATATATAGGGAAAAATATTTCTCAAGCTGCTTGAGATAAATTTATCTCCGGCTACCCTAAAACTACATCGTTCTGATTATTTATTTCTTTATATTTATTGATTCACCTTTGAATGGTTATGATTCCCCTTTTCTCTCTCTTTCTTTATTACCATTGATCCATCTTTGTACGGTTATGATTTAGTAGCCGAAGATAACTTTATCTCTGGCAGCTTGAGAAATGATAAGCCCATATATATATATGTATATATATATATATATATATATATATATATATATATATATATATATATATATAGGGTTTGCAACTTCTTATGTTGCATGAGAAGTTGAAGCTTTCCTATAGAAAGAAAGGAGTGGGGGCCACCTTGATAAAAAAATAGAAAATATAAAAGTGGCTGGTATGGATATCGAAGTGAGAGTAGTAGGAGAAGAGACTTCTCATGCAACATGAGAAGTCTTTTTCCCATATATATATATATATATATATATATATATATATATATAATTTTTAAAATATTAGAGATTTTGATTTTTTTAATTAATATATTTTTTTGCACACACTGATCAATAGATTTTTATAAAAATTAATATGATATGACATATTTAGAAAAATTATATAAATTCATTATTGAACGGTATTTTTAACAAAAATATTTATTTTTTTTCCTATTTAATATTATACATTACATTATCAAATACTTGATAATATTATCTTATACAATATGTATCTTATAAACCTTATAATATCATAACTTATCCTATAATGTACCACTGATCATACCCTAAGAAATCAGTTTGGGGTGTTCCGAAAACTACTCTTTATATAGGTTATTAACGGCGCCCCCCCAATCTGGACATTTTTTTTAACATAAACAAAGAGAGTGGTCAATCATCACAAATGGATGCAAATTTTGTATAAATACATTAATTTATTATAATTTACCCAGTAGTTGATAATTTTATTTTGTGCAGTATCTATTATAGGGTATTTGACATAAAAAAATTATTAATCAATTAATTGATAATTTTATAATATTTTATATAAATCCATTATTAGATAAAAATAAACTTTAATCGATTATAAGAATACATTTTTAATTATAAATTATAATCAATTAATGAATTTACAAGTATTATGGATAGTTATTGATATAGTCAGTATTAATTAAAATTATATATTAATTTATAAGTTTAATTATTAAATATTTAAAATGAGTGAACATAGGAATATGAGTATTTTATAAAAGGAATAATAAGAAATCTTTTTAATGGTTTTTAGATAATAACAAAAAGAATTATATCTTTGGTACTCTTGTAGTACTTATTTCTTTACTAAAGATGGGAAAAAGTGGGACTTAAATGGCATAACCATAAAAGGATGGGTATAATAGATAAAATAAATTGTTTTATTTTTTTCCTTTTTAGTAAAAGATATATTGAGTCTTCAATACCTCCGTAATACTAAATATATTTTCATAGAAAGAGAAACGGGCAACAAATTGATTGTTTCTTTTTTAAATTAAAAAATGTAAAAATAAAAAATGTCGACATGATAAAAAAAAGTAGTTTTTGAAATACCCCAAATTGAATTTTTGTGGATCTAATGATCCTAGATGTAGATGGTCAAACCGGTCTACAAAATCCACATCCGAAATTTGTATAATATGGAATACACTTGATATTCCACCAACAATGTAGATTGCTTACATATTTGGTTAATTCCAAGCAGTTGAATAACGGAGAGTTAAGATAGGGGAATATCTATCATCATATGAGTTAAGCTTTGAACTTTATGGTCCTTATAGTTATATAATTCTTACTTTTAACACATTTCTAACCAATATTAACTAGTGAATCGTGGTATCCACCAATCCTTCTTTAACTCTAATTAGCCAATTGCAGTGAAACTTCCTCAACCTCAACAACGCAACATTTTGTACCAAGGCAGGTCCTTTGTCATGAGAGAATCTTGCAAAATAATAGTGGATCGATCAGTTTAACTCGAAATCCAAGTTCGACGAATGTATATGATAAAATTCAAATTTAAAACGTTTCAACAACCGCAGAGAATAAAGTTGTAAGGACAAGGGAGCTTCCATTGGGTGGAGCATTTGAATTGGGAAAGGGAAGGCATTGGAGCATTGGTCAAAATGAAGCAAAGAATAATCCTTGGTGTTGGTGGTTCGGCCACGAGCACATACATAAAAAATACTAGAGAGAGAGATACTTTACGCGTCTTTTGGGTCCCAGTCCCCCAAAAATAGGAGGATTAGGAGATCGGGAATCATTCCGCGAAAAATTGCGCTGAGTCATGACTTATGTAACTTGTGTGAAGAAGAAACAGCTTGAGCTTGCAGCTACAGGGTTGTCTTGTCACGGACACCAGTACCATCCACCATCTTGTGTTCACACTTCAGAGCTCAGAATAATAATGTATCATTTCATCGTCCTCCATCTGAGTCTAAACTGTCACTCACCTTCACATCATTTGCACCTATCAAATACATATATTTCATCTTCCAATATATACAGAAATTCTTTAAATTAGTTAAGAAACATTTTGCACTATCATTAAAAACATAAAAAAAAGAGTAAATATTTTTTTTTAGAATGGATCCTCTTATTTGTAAAAAAAACATGATATGGTCATATGAAAAATCACAACCATACAAAAGTAAATTAACGAATTTTGTAATTATCTATTTTAACATTTTTTTTTCTCTTCCCTTATTACCATTGATTCACCAGTTATGATTCTCCACATGACGTGAATTTTCACATGAGAGTATCCAGATTCACCCTTTTTACTCCTCAACAAATTTCATGATGTCCGATTTAGTGTCTAGCAAATAAAAAAGCCCATCATAGTCCCTAAGAAATTCAAAATGGACTCATTTAGTTGAAATTGTGTTCCCTTACAAATTTAAAAAAACTCATATTAGTCCTTAAAGGGACTAAAATAGGTACATTTTGAATTTCTTAAGGATTACGATAGACCTTTTTTATTTGCTATGGACTAAAGGTGACAGTAAAATTTGATGAGAAACAAAAAAGGTGTATATACTCTAAAAATAATTCAGAACTTTTCATCACTTTATTAATTGAGGAATATTAGTCTCATGTTATATGAGAATACCTCTCTTATACTATAGAAAGAATCTACGTGGGGTCCACCATTAAAAAGCAAAAAAGAAAAAGAATAAAAAAGAGGTGCAATTTTTGAAGTGAGATAAAATAAGACAATGTAAATTGAGAATAGTATTTTCCTTATTAATTAAATAATCGATCTCTCAAAAACATAAAATATTTTTGCTGATTTTTCATGTCAAAGTTCCGATTTAAGAAAATACCATGACGTAAATTATATTATATAATATTACCATTCCACAACTGCGGCATCGAAACATTAAATTAAAACAGAGCTTGATAACTTAACGGAAAAAAACAAAGCGCTAAAAAATCTTCATACTAAAAAGGAAGCATCTTCGTCATCATCGATCTACCTCGCTCAGAAATCCTTGAACAACTTGCGAACCTGTTCCAGTGTCACGAACAGCACAACAGTGAAGGGTCCCTGCCTCGAAATCGTAGGTACAAACCCTTTGTAGAGTGCCATGGGACCCTCCGCGCGCACCGTCTTCAGAGCACAGTCCAACGCGCCGGCGTACGGTGGCTCCGCCCCGGGCTCCACCTTCATGTTCATCACTCTGGTCTTTATCACGTCCACCGGGTTCGACGCAACCGCCGCTACGAACCCCGCCGCGAAGCTCGCCGTGACGTGGGTCCCTAGTCCGTCGCGCATCACGCCCTTCTCGAGAATCATCTCCTTGAACTGGTCGTATGACGCAAGCTGCGACGCCGTCACAAGCATCGCGCGGTTCACCGTAAGCGATGAACCCCTCCACAGGCTAGTCACCCCTTCCTGCTTCGCCATCGTGACTATGGCGTCCACGACGGACTTGTAGTTGCGCCGCTGAGCCAGCGGGAGCCTCCCGTCGGCCTGCATTCGGACCATGGCCACGTCGGCAGGGTTTCCAACAGCGGCGCCAATGCCGCCGGCGATCAGTCCGGCCTCGATCTTGCGTAACAGCGGCATGTTGCCGCCGTTAGGATCGGACCACTTCGTCTTCAGTACGTCGTAAAGGCCCATGCGGGTGGTGGAGTAGAGCGTCTGGCGGAGGACGGTGGCGGAGACGCCGGAGAAAAGAGCAGCGATGCCTTCTTGTTGGACGAGACGAACGCCAACACCAATGGGGCCCACGCGAGTTTGCGGCATCGGAGGAGGCGCCACGTGGATGGAGGATCCGGTTTGGAAGACGAGTGCGGGTCGGAGGTTATGAACCGGGTTGGGTTCGCCCTGAAGCTGCATGCGAACCTTGATGAGATCTAAAGGGTGGGTTGAACATCCTGCGATGATGGAAGCGATGCCTCCTTCAACGAAACCTTTGACACCCATGATGTTGTGTTTTTTTTTTTTCTCGAGAATGGGAACGAAGCAAAAGAGTTTTAAGTTAGTAGATTTGAAAGAATCAAATGAATCGAAAATTTTGCAGGATTATAAGATTGTTGTTAGGAAAAGATGTGAAGGACTAATGGGAATTAAAGAGAAAAGGACCAATTGGAATTAGGGTTCATCTCACTTGAGACCATGAGATGGGAATGGAGGCCACAGGCTATGGAAGAAGAGTGAGGAACGGTAGGCCTTTGAGACATATGCAGAAAAATATCACTGTTGTTTAGGTTTGGGGAAAGGCAGGGACTGAAGATGCCAATTTATAGCAGTGCCTTTTTCACTTTTTGGAAGCAACTACAAGGACCCAGCGTCTACCAAATTGCGTAAACCACTAGGTCCACTACACTCAAGTCCATGAATTAATAAACGCGGTTTAGAAACGTGGTCCTTGGCTTTCGTAAGAGACCCAATCTAAGAGCATTTATTACAGGGTATTGCCATGGACAATTATTTTGGTAAAGTGTGAATTTAGGACGTGCATGTTAAAAAAATAATCATTTTAAAGAAAAATTAAATAGTTTCTTTAGTTTCTTAACTTGTGATATAAAAAGTAAAAACGCATATTAATGAAGTCCTTTAAAATAATAGCTATTAGGAATTTTCTATTTCTTAATCCATGTTTCTTAAAATATTTATTAACCAAATCTTATTTTAAAATTATTTAAAGAAAAAATTAAATATTCTTATATTTTTAAGATATTAAATATTTTTTGTTTAATTTCTTAACGTGATAAAGAAATTTATTTTTATATTAATTAATGGGTTCGCTTTTCTGCATTTATTTCAGATAAGTTATCTGCAGTAAGCCCAATGCGAAAATTATAGTATTTTTGTAATTTTAATTTATTTCAGGATTATTATAGTCTTTATGATTGTAATTTTCTAATCTTTCAAACCCAGAATGATGTCGTTTTGAAAGTAAATGCAAATAACTTATCTGCATTAACGGTAGAAATATTTTTCTGTTAATTAATTTACTATTCTTTAAAATTAAGTTTTGATAAAGAAACATATTTTTAAAATTAACTATCTGGAATTTACTATTTATTAATTAATCAATGTTACTTAATATATTTCTTAATTAAGACTTAATTTAAATTTATTTAAAGGAAAAATAAACATTTTTATATTTATATGATATTGAATTTTTTTAACTATATTTTGATTTTCTCAACGTGATAAAAAATATTGTAATAAAGTCATTAAAAATAAGATTGTTGAATCGCAATACGTATTATGTATCATGAATCATTAATCATTAAGACTAATATTATCACTATTATCACTATCAGTGAAATAACTAATCCATCATCCTTTTTATTAAGGTAATCATTTGACTCATCCTCTTACTGGTTTTTAAAAATAAAATCTTTCTTCCATAGATATTGAATAGATTTAAAATATTTATTTAATTATTTTCTTTATTAATACATATTTTGAAATTGATTTTTAAGTTTAAATCACAAATCAAATATTTGTTTTCTTTCATTATTAATAATAATTTTAAATCCCCAATCAAATATTTATTTTTATTAAAAAATAAATAATTTAATTTAATTTTCATATCATAATACATGTATCGTATCATATCGTAGGATACATATATCGTATTGTAAGATACAAAATTGTATCATTCGATACAATTCATTTTTGATATATCCTACGATATATATTGCTTACGATACTATCCTTAAAAATAATAACTATTAGGAGTTCGCTATTTCTTAATCAAATCTTATTTTAAAAATATTTTAATTATTTGAACAAATATATTTGCCGCACTGGTTATGAGTTTTCCCACGCTTGCATTAGTTCAAAAATCAAAATGTTCACATTATTAGCATACGTTGCATCAAAATTGCATGTGTTGTCCAAAAATCTAGGAATAAAAAACTGGGGTTAATTCATTTCTCTTCCTCAGTTACTCTTGAATCGATAAATGGACCTGTAATGCTGGAGTCCGACCATTAGTCAGCACAGGTGACTGAGCGTTAGGCGTGAGCTGTCCACGCGCTCTCATTTTAAATGCTTTGAGCAAGCAGCGCAATACAGCATATGGAGTCCATCATCAACCCAAAAATAAAAAATTAAAGTGCAGATCACGCATGTTTAAAAATTGTTGATCAAGTTTAAAATTATCATATTCTATTTTACTCATTTTATATCTAAACATATATCTTAGAAGCTTATTCACGTAAAGAATAATGAATTTTACAAACAATGCCAAAAATAAATAAATAATTTTTCTAAAATTAACAACTTGACCCTGAATTACGTATAACCCATTAACTTACGTATGAGGTGTGGTAACTCGTAACGAATTTACAAATGTGGCCCCTTTTTAAAAACAATTCACGTTCATGGATAAATTAAATAATTTGTTCGAGTCAGACAGATTATAAGGACTATAAAGACGGCAAGTTCTTATTACTAAGTTTTTGACACACATATCCACTGTTGTAAAATACGGTCTTACCTGTTATAAAAAAAAATAAAAAAATACGGTCTTACCCGGTTGGGTCCACTTGAAATTCTGTGAATCAGTTATTATATCGGTTCGTGTTAAGTATTGGATCAGTCATGTATCTATCTGGTTAAACTCGGATAAAATCGGTCAAACCCGATAACCCGGTTGGGTCATGCATTTTTTTAAAAAAAAAAAATTATTTCATCTTATCAAAAAAAATGTAAAACTCATTTTAAAAACTTTTTGTAATTTTATTTGCTAGTATACTTCTACAATAATCTCTTAGTTTCCAATACTGAAGCAATTTGTAGAATAATAAATTAGAGAATGTGACATATGTCATTTTAATGTAGTTGAATTTGACAAATATGAGTTCAGTGTCATTGAGAGGTATGTTTACGAGGATTCTGAGTTGCAATTTAAATTGACATAGTAATAACATGCATTTTTATTTAGTTATGCTTTATGTTTTTGAGCTTATTTAGTGAACATTGTTTAATTCATTTTAGATATAGAGAATATAATTGAATTTATATATTCATATTTATATACATTTTTATATATCTATATATCCGGGTCAACTGATCCGACCAGTAATCTATCAGTCCGTCTAGTAATCCAGCATTCTGACCGAATCAGGTTTAACAACAGTTGCACATATCTCAAAATTGTTGATTAAATTGGAACAATTCTATATCAATTGATTCATGTATTTAGTGGTCAAACTTTCAAAAATCACCTAAATTCAATTTGATCCGGAGAAAAAGGGGTATTTAGAAAAATAAAAAACCAATCACGGTCTAACATAAATGCCACCTACTAGAATGGGAACCACCTGCACAATGACTCAATGAGAATAGTAAGAATAAGAAGAATTGACAAAGGGAAGCACCCTGGCGAAGAGTCCAACCGTTCAAAACGTCCGTTGGAGGGAATCAAATGCTATTCTGGATTCTTGACTTTGCCAGTTTGCCCTTTTCAATTGTGAACCAAAAATTTCCTCTAGTTGTATTCAAAAATAATAATAATATTAAATTCCTCTAGAAGCATGCCATGTGCCCTCGGATGATGCTGGGAAGGACTGATTCTCACTCTTATTGTTTCAGACGAGACAACAAGAATTTTTTTTTTAAATATTTTGAATATAAACTTAGAAAAAAGTATTTGTCTTTTAAATGATCAATAACTTCTTACTATCTCCCGTCATAATTCTGATTATGTAACTTTTTCTATCATTGTAAGTTGTAACATACAATAATTTTTATTAAAATGACATAATTTTTATATCTGTATAAATATTTTTTCCATAAACTTATTAGTGGTTATAAGAATATTTTTAATAAAATTACTAAATTTAATATAAAAATGCATAAAATAATTATTGGAGGAAATTAAAGAAGTAATCATGCAACGAAAAAATTAGAGAGGGCTTTGGGTCAGAGGCGCTGTCTGGGGCAGGCAGAAGGCAACGACTGCAACTCAACCTCCCCCAGTTTCAATTCACCGGTGTGGGTCCTACTTTGGATTTAATGCAAGTTGCGAATCCAAAACGCAAAAAAAGTGTGTCTACACCGTCGCCTGAGAGATTCGAACTCTCGCGGGGAAACCCCATGTACTTAGCAGGCACACGCCTTAACCACTCGGCCAAAGCGACAGTACTGCAACACAACGTTCAAGACTATAAAGATTACTGTAAGTCTTAATTTTTAGTTTCTTTTTTTAGTAAATTGTTCACATTTGATATTTTTAGTAAAGTGATCTCCTACTATATTCATTTTGAAAAAAATGCAATTATTTTTATTTAAAAAAAATCTGCGGAGTTCACTTCATATGTATCTGTTGGAAATAAAGCTCCTCACCTACCTCATAAGAAAAATAACGCCTATAAACAAATAATAATATAATTTGTAACTTTATATATGCCCACAAAATATAGGCATTCATTTTGCTTCCATCCGTATCTAAATTTCAAACCCATAATCGATCCAATTTATCAGTGCAACATGGGAAACAAACAACTCCATCTTGGTCGAAGAAAAAGTGGCACCAGTGGCAGTGACAGTGACCACCTCGAGGCAATTATCTTTTTTTTTTTATATAATACCAAGGCAATTATCTTTTAATGATCAAAAGGGAGTTAACATTCATATTTATAAATTTAAGATGAACATTAGTGACATGACTAAAGAATAAAAAAAAAAATTATACTCTTATGTTGCATAAGACTCTTTTCTCATTTTACACTCACATAAAAAGACGTGTCTTACTTTTCTTAAAATTGGTGAGCTCCACTTAATTTATCTCACAACATGAGATAACTTCTCTCATACAACATGAGAGAAATAAAACCCGAATAAAAATGGCTCATAAAAGCATCATTGTAATTTGTACAGGTAAGAATTTAATCCAAATACATTATTCTTTACATTAAAATCCAAACACACTATTCTTTAAACTAAAATACTAATCTGAGCGCTTACAAGGAGATGAATAAGAGAGATACGTAGAGAAAAAGAACACTGAGAAGAAAACAGAAGAATGAACAAGAATATGAAAATCAAACAAACTTATTCATTCGATCAGTTTTCTTGTGAAAAAATAGATGAACATAAAAATCTTAATACTACTTATTGACAATAAGATAAAATAATAAAATCCTAGTAACTACTGAATGGTATATGAGATAATCCAAATAAATATTGAATAATAATAAGATAACGATAAACATAAACTTAATTCAAAGTAAATTAACTATGTAACTTAAATTATTTGAAATCCT